AACTACAGAAAAACCAAATAATTTATTTTTACAATAAATAAAAATAAAATAGTTCAAAGTCAAAATTTAAGATCACTATCTTCACTCTCATTTTCTTAATTTCATCCAATAAAATGGTTTCAAATTCCATTTTATCGATAACACATCATCAAATTCAAGTTTCTCAAAGTTTATTTAATTCAATTAATCATTCCAACATTTTCCAAATAAATAATATATGTCGTGGCTATTTTGTTAAGCACGATCTTTTAAAAAAAAATATACAAAAATTAGTATGCAAAACTTTTAATTGCAAAATTAGTTTTGGTTTCTTTTAATTGTAAAAAATACTATAAAAAATAATTTCATGTTTCTAATTAATATGTGACACGCAAGCTTCCAAAATGGAATCGTAAGCTTCCAAAATGGAATCGTAAGCTTCCAACGAGCTTCTAAAGTGAATTTTTTGGAAGCGCTATGGAAGCGAGATTCCAAAAGCTTCCAAGAGCTTCCGATTCCGAATAAGATTCCGAAGCGGGAAGCGGACCTTCGACGAAGCTTCCGTGCTTCCTAGATGTAAACCTGGGTATAACAGAAAAAAGTGGTATAACTGTTTGAAATAGTTTATCTGGTATTTTTGAGAAAATATGGGTATAACTCAGAAACGTGGTATAACTATTTGAAGTAGTATATCTGGTATTTTTGAGAAAACCTGGGTATAACTGAGAAACGTGGTATAACTATTTGAAGTAGTAAATCTGGTATTTTTGAGATTACTGTTAGAAGTGGTATAACTGGTAATTTTGGTATAACTGGTAATTTTGGTATAACTGTTAATGTATTTTTTTTTTTTCAGGAGAATGAGCAACCTTCCAATAAACATACATTTTGATTATGATGGATATTATTCAAAAACCGGAGATACTTATCAATGGAATCCAAGGATAGCTGGCTTGTACGGTCTATCGTTTAGGACATCATCAATGGAGAAGATAATGATAGAGCTAATGTTGATGTCGTAGCTCTTTACGCAGACAAGCCACTAGCAGAACAACTTTCGGAGCCTTTGGAGCCACTAGAAAATATTGTTATCAGATATGTGGAAAATGGTGTTGATAACACTGTCGATATGAGTATGGAGAATGATGGTATTGGTGAATATGTTGAGATTCCACGTGCTAGCCAAGTTTCTAAATTTAAAGATCCATGCGAAGATGGTCTTGATCTAGTAATAGGTCAAGAATTTGAAAGCAAGCATGAAGTGCAATATTTAGTTGAGACATGAGCAAATCTGAATATGTATTCTCTGGTTTTTGTAAAACTTGGTTAAACTTGGTTTCGTAATGGTACAACTATATATGTCTCTGATTTCGTGTTTTTGTGTATTCTCTGGTTTTGTAAAACTTGGTTAAACTAGGTTCGGTATAACTACGAAGAAATTAACAAATCTTCATAAATTCAAAATTATATCATAATTCTTTTTATAAAGAAATAGACAACTTAGTGTTACATAATCAAATTAGTGGTTTGTAATCAAAATTTGTTAAATAAAATTTACAAAAATCTTTACACATTTTAGTTCTCTACATGAAAGTCCTTATACTTCTAAGATGTCTTTCTTTTGAATCTCCATGGTGAATGTCAAAAGTCTGAAAATTTAACATTTTACACATATTATTGAATGAATATGTTTGGAATTTACCTCATATACATAAAATCTTGTGGACAACTAATAAAAATTAATATTTTTCAAAGAATACTAATTATAAAGTAAAACCCCAAAAATACAACTGTGTGTTTGCGAGTACAACTTGTAAACTTGGAAAAACTGTGTATATTTGACTGCGTCATGTGTACAAATGACGGCGCCACGTGTACAAATGACGGAGCCTTGACTGTAAAAATGACGGCGCCATGTGGATCACGTGTTATTTGCCACAAATATCCAGTTTTTTTATTTATTCGAATTTCCCTACAAAATATTCAAAATTTTCGAAATAACCCAATTTTTTTTTCTTTTCACCCTTTTAATTTCCCTCAAACTTTTTTCCCAAATATCATTTCAGCCCCTTTACCATACCAAGATGAACAAACGTACATAGTTTTACCTAGTTTAACAAAAATAAAGCATTTGTACATAGTTGTCATTCACACAATTGTACCTAGTTTTACAAAATAATACCAAAATAAAACAATAACCATTTATGATCACATAGTTGTACCTAGTTTTTTAAAACCGACGGAGTTATACCAAAATAAAATAACAACCAAATAAATTTTAACGATGAAGTTGCTTAAGAAGTAGAGCACAACTACTCTCAGACGATCATCAAAAGGTTTCTTCAATGATAGTAACTTTGTCTCCACATCTTGATATTTTATTGTTGCTCTGGGTCCAAATATCCTGCCAACAAACTCCATACATCCCTTGGTTTCACAGGAATTCGGAAATTGGTGACAATATAATCCTAACACGAGTGCAAATTCTTTGAGAGAATAGCGGATCGGAACCCCATTGACGATAAACCAAACTTCCCTCTTCTTCTCTAAACATGTTGTGCAAAGAAATAACAACAACATACCCATCAACTTATGATTTGCGTCCCTGTGCATGTGGAAGAAGTGTCGGAACAATGGGTGTTCTCTGAACCATTTCAACTCCTTGCCTTTAAGATGAGTCTCCAATAAGCTCACTCCCTTATGAATATAGCACTTTGTTGAAATCTTGAATGACTTTGTATACTCACTCGGATTGAAGTACATTTTAAGAGGTTGTAGAGTTTCGGTTTCCTCATTAGAATCCTACAATCAAGATCAAGTTGGACCAAGTTATACAAAGTTGTACCTTTTAGTTTTAAAACTTCGAAGTTAGAAAAACAGAATAGTTATACCAAGTTATTTATAGTTTTACCTTTTAGTTTCATTTATTTCTAAGTTATAAAAGCAAAAGCAGCATAGTTATACCTAGTTATTCATAGTTTTATCTTTTAGTTTCAAATATTTATAAGTTATAAAAACACGTTAGTTATACCTAGTTATTCATAGTTTTACTTTTTAGTTTCAGAAATTTCTAAGAGACAAAAGCAACAAACTTATACCTAGTTCTACGAGTTGTCCAAATTTTATAGATCTTACCGTTGCAACCCCATTAGAGATTGAATCTATTGCTTCAGATTCCACTACCGCCGGCGGTGGTACTTCTTCAAGATTGGCTTCTGGCGGAGTTAAAGATACATTTGCGTTCTTTGTTCGAGGCATAACTCCCTTCCATAAACCTACAAACAAAATCATTTACATTAGCACTTCCATTCAATATTTCAATCGATTCAACTACCACTAACATTCTCCATCTCTTCGGACTCTAAACAAACATAACGAACAATCAATTTCAATACTCGCGGACTTTCACTCGATTTTAATCGCAAAACCCAAAATAAAAACTCGATTTTACCTTGTCCAATAACGTAGTTGTCTGTAGTTATACCAAGATCGACTCTGAAGAAATAGAAGAGACACGAAAGGGATAAACTAATGTTGCCGTCGTAGGATTTTTCTCCAAAGAATGAACTGTTTTACCCGTTTAAATTGGAATCGACCCAGTAAGAAAGGGTTTGGGTATTTTTAACCCAATTAGCTTGGTTGGGTTGTAAATATGTGATATTATATTTTGAAGGGTTAAGTGGTCAAATGTCTACTTTTTCGAATTTAAGAAAATCAAAACTAAATTATATTTTATAAGAGGAGCAATTGAGAAAAGTTTGGGAGCTGGAGGAGCCCCTGAGAATTTGTTCCTATCTTAGATAGTTTATGTTAAGCCATGGCTCGTCTTATCCCAATTTCTCAACCACCACTAATCGCCGCCGCACAAACCTCCGACCACCCGCCGCGCATTATCATCTCTCGTCGAGACACCATTCTTCTCTCCTCCGCCGCTTCTCTTCTCCTCTCACTCTCCCCCACCGATCCCGCTTTTGCCTTCTCCTTAGGAATCTGTACACACACACACACTTCTCACTCACTCTTCGTTTTATTAATCTTATCTCCAAATTTGTGAATTTTTTGGCAAGAACTTTACAAAAATTCAATGCAACTTTTGGACGGACAAGTTTTGGGATATCGCAATTGTTGGTATCCAAAAACACAACATTTTTTTGGTACACACATAGAGATCTTCCTCTTCCGCCTTTAAAATTAAAAACAGAAATTTAAAAAATACAGAAATTTTAATGAATGTGTGGTTGACAAAAAAACAATACAGAAATTTGTAAATCTGAAAACTAATTATCTTTTATCTTCTCAATGCTTTATTAGTAATACTCGCCATTTATAAAAGAGTGGTATTGAAAAAGTAAATTTCTGTTAACTTTTATCAAGCTAAGTATTTTGGTTGTTTACTTTTCAGCCACCTTTCCGTATCTGGCTTATCAAACACGGCAATTATTTGATGGTATAATTGGCGGTCCAACACCAGAAAATGTCCAGATAGGCCTTTAATCCCCTAATAAAGACGTAGAAAATTTCTTACAACTTCTTCACAGAAGTATTTATATTTTAATTAGGTATATATTTGGTTTCAATCCAGGAATATTAATATTTTATATACCTAATATTAATATTGATATTAATATTTATAAGCTTATAATAAATATATATATATATATATAAACTTTTAATATATATATAAGGATTTCTAATAAAACATTGAGAAAATAAAAGAGAATTAGTTTTTAAATTTATAAACTTGCATTTTTTAATTTTAAAGGTGGAAGTTGAAAATCGCTATGTCCTCGCCAAAACTCTTGTGATTTTGGGTACTGATAATTGGCAAATCCCCAAACTTGTCAAACCGACACATATTGCTCGTAATATTTCCAAGGGCCTGGCCTCGGCAAAGTTTTTGGGCCCAGTAACAATCGAAGCCGTCGGCAAGCCCCTACTAGACTTTGTTACACAACAACTGCGATCCTCTGGCATTAGAGTAACTCAGGTTTTCTCAGGTAAATTTATTAAGTTTTGAAAAAATATTTATCTTGAAAGAAAATTAATCAATATGTTTTTGTGTTTCTGATAAATTGAATGCTACAGACACCAAACTTGTCTTAAGGATGGCTATATGGGCTTTGGATACTCCAGATCCAGCCAACATTTTACTAGTGGCAGGAGACGGTGACTATCAAGACATAGTTGACCATTTAAGAACACGCGGCCACAACGTTATGCTTGCCCAGATTATACGAAGCTCTAATCTAATGTTAAAGATTACGTCAAAAATTATTTGGGAGTGGGGAGATCTAGCGTCGGGAAGGGGTCCACTTAGGGAAGAAGGGAATTTGCACATACGAGAGAAGTACTTGCGCAAATATCTAGGAAACAGACCCAAAAGTCAGATAGCCGAAGCTCCCTCCATCAGATGTGAACTATGCTATCATCTTCTCCCATTGCCCAAGAAACCTGAGAAGTTGCAATGTCGATGTTCTTACATGATTGATCTGACATCAACCACACCTCTAACCCCTCTAACAACCCTACTTTGAATTACTCTTTCTTTAAACTCTTTCCTTTTGTTCTTTCTTTGAATAGAACTTTTGACTCTTTCCTTTACTATGGGTTAAGATCGAATTTTAGGTTACAATTTTTGTAACTGATTTGGGGAAGAACAAACAGTGTATTCTTCTTTGGAGTTAATTATGATCCTGAACGATGCGTTTCATTGAATTACAAGGAAGCTTCTTTACGAAAGAAACAGGGATACATGGTTCTGGTTCTGTCTTCTTGCTGACACAGTCAAAGTGACTCACGAGCTTAATTGATCGACCAATTTTAACGCGCTTTTGGAACCTTGGGCATATATCAATGGAGAAGCAAGTCAAATATAAGAGGTCTGTGAATGATCCAACAACTCTTAGATCCCTCAAAATAGTAAGAATACTTTGAACTCTTTGGTATCAGATTTGAAGCTTATGGTTCAGACTCACAACATCAAAAGTAAAAGGGTTTGATTTCCCAAATTGGTCATATTTGTTAATCAGTTTCATCACGACTAATTTTCTCAGAATGATTATTGGATAGTAGACGATGTGTTGCCTGTAATTTCCATTGTGCCATGTTAAATTTATCAGGTCAGAAATATACCAAAGAAGGTTTTTTTCTTACAAAAGTCTTGTTATGTGAATTTTGAAGCTATAATCCGTGTATCATTGAAGTTTCCTCGACTTTGATTACAGGAAGGCGTCATATCTTTGAGTTTGAAAATGATCCCAACATGCATGCTTGCCGTGATTTCATCAGTAAGCTCCATTAGCTTACACTAATATCTAGAAAATGGTCCTCGTGGGAGATAAAGCACCACCTGGAATTCAATTTCTAAAGCCAAAAATATATCTAGAAAATGGTGATCTTAATACATTGTGCTCTTTCTACATGGTTGAAAGCTTATTTACATTCTGCTGGATCATATCTTCATATATTGTGCTTAGTTAAATTTCCTGTCACACAGGACCATGGGATCCAGCGCTATGGCACCAATGACGTTGTTGAACCACTGAACGACCAGCTTAGGAGGTCACTTTTACAAGATCTTAATCGTCATGCTGCTGTTGTATTGGAAGGAAGATGCATCGGTAAACACTTATAACTCTGATTGTTTCATCTAGTGTTTTGTATAGCAGTCTAAGAAATAGCCATCAAATGACTTCCCAACAGATAGTTCATGAGGGATAACCATGTATTTTGGCCCTCTGCTTTTAGTTCTTGGTGGTAAAGTTAGTATACAATGATACTCACTTATTCTTTTATACTGGAAAGTAGATGTTGAGTCTGAAGGTACGAGAATTGTTGCAGAGGCTCTCACACGGGCGAAACAAGGTTTGCTGTTTCATTCTGATATGCTCTACTTTTCTTTTTCTTTTTCTATGCTGATCAATGGCCAATTCTGCAATTCATATTCATCTAACCTAGGTATCCACATGTCTATTACCCCTGGTAGTAAGCAAAGCTGATGGTGAAATCACCAAGGACGCTAATCAGGAGAGGTTGGAGAGAATGTCCCTTGCAACAGAAATGGAGGATCTTCAAGCACCACAAAACTTCCCATTAGCACCACTCTCTATCAAGGTTTGGCTTTCTGTGATTAAAAGGCTTACACTGTCGATGATGATAGATGGTGCGTAAATCCTCTTACCTTCTCTTGTTTGGAATCAAGACCCTCGTGATTACTTTGAATCTCAACAAGGAAACATCCTCAGTGAACCCAGAGGAGCAAAGGCGTCAAAGAGAAATGTCCATGAAGCTTATGGATTACTAAAAGAATCCATTTTGGAGAATAGAATGACGGGATTAAGTGATCCTTTGATTAAACCTGAAGTTTCCTTTGAGGTGCTATTCTATCTCAATATAAAATGCATGCTGCCTAAAGAAACCATGGCTTATTGCTTTGTTCCCTGAGCTTAATATTGCTAAACCCTATCCAGGTTTTCAGTTCGTTGACCCGAACTATCTCAACTGCCAAAAATATTGTTGGGAAGAACCCGCGAGAGAGCTTTCTGGACAGATTACCAAAGTCCACTAAGGATGAAGTTATACAGACATCCTCCAGTGTCCTAAGTAACAAGCAGCTCAATATATACTGATTACTGTGATTTGGTTAATAATGCCGATGGATTCTGTTGTCCCCTCAAATGCATCAATACCTTTTGCTTTTTCTTTCTTATGCAGCACTGGACATCAATACAAGAATTACTGAGACATTTTTGGTCATCTTACCCAATAACAACGACATATCTTAGTACCAAGGTAATGTTGTTGCCACTACACATTTTTCCAATCCTAGAGTTTGCTATATACATAGATTCTTCAGGAACCATTGAAATTTATTTACACCGTGTCCGAGAGCAACTTCTTATAATAGGATGTCACTTTTTATCATGCAGGTTGGTAAACTGAAGGATGCAATGTCCAATACTTATTCACTACTCGATGTAAGCTATGAAATTCTTCTTCAAATCTTTTTCTCAGAGTAATGCGTTAGAAAAGTAGTTCATTATATCTTCATATGAATGCATTTACACAAACATGAAATTTGGGTAAAATAAATTGGTGCAGTGGTGTAACCGTGTAATGGTCCATTAGTAGTTTGTGGTTGGGTGAAAGTAAAGAGAAGTAGTTGTTAGCCACATAGCGATTAAAGACTGTTTTACTGTTTGACGGTAAAACATAAGTTGCAGTCGTCGGCGGAAGTGGTAATGGAAGCGGCGGTGACGGTGGTGGTAGCCAGCATCACGACGGCGCTGAAACTGATAGGAAGAAGAAACGTTATCATCGTCACACCTCTCAACAGTTTAATTTCCTATTTGGTTTTTTTCCAATTTATTGAATCACATTTGTTTTCACATTATAACAGAGAATCCCCCATTTATAAACATCCGTTCACTCATCCCGCAACTCTTTATCAGATTTACGTATATTTAAGCTTAGTAAATTCGTTGATCAGATTTACGTATTCTCAGCGTTTTATGTTATTGTTAGTGAATGATTTTGATTAGTGTCTTCTCTCTAGTGATGTTAATTGGGCATGAAACTCCCATTTAATAATTTAATAAATGGGTATGTACAAAAAAAATTAGCCCATTTAAACCTATTTAGAGAAAAATGTTAAATGTGTTAAATGGGTTATCCCAATTAAACTCATTTATTAAATGAGGTTTCCCAAAAATAAATGGGTACTCATTTAAGCCCATTTATGTTTTATTTTATATTAGTTATTTTTATTAAAAATGTTAATATTTCAATAACTAATATAAAAGAGCAAAATATTAAATATATTTAAAACTAATATTCTACTTAAATTTAATTATTAATTTAAATATTTAAAAGAAAACGTAAAACCACGTTTCCTATAACATGGTTATGCGATTATGGCGGGAAAACACGGGTTTACGGTTTTGCCAGAAAAACGCAAGTTTACAGTTTTGGCGGAAAAACGTGGGTTTACGGTTTTGGCGGGAAAAAACACGGGTTTGCGGTTTTGGCGGGAAAATGCAGATTTACGGTTTTGGCGGTAAAACGCGGATTTGCGATTTTGGAGGAAAAATGTGAATTTATGGTTTTGGCGGAAAAATGCGAGTTTATGGTTTTGGCGGGAAAACGCAGGTTTATGGTTTTGGCGGAAAAACACGGATTTGCGATTTTGGCGGAAAAACGTAAGTTTACGGTTTTGGCGGAAAACGCGGGTTTACGGTTTTGGCGGGAAAAACACGGGTTTGCCGTTTTCGCGAGAAAACGCAGATTTACGGTTTTGGCGGGAAAACGCGGATTTGCGATTTTGGCGGGAAAATGTGAATTTATGGTTTAGGCGGAAAAACGCGAGTTTACGGTTTTGGCGGGAAAACTCGGGTTTACGGTTTTGGCGGAAAAACGCGGATTTGCGATTTTGGCGGGAAATTGCGAGTTTACGGTTTTGGCGGAAAACGCGGGTTTACGGTTTTGGCGGGAAAACGCGGGTTTACGGTGTTGGCGGAAAAACGCGGGTTTACGGTTTTGGCGGAAAAAAATGGATTTAAGGTTTTGGTGGAAAATGCTATTTTATGGGAAAATAATTTTTGGTGATAAAACGCAATTTTGTGATTTTTGCGGGAAAATGTGAATTTATGGTTTTGGCGGAAAAACGTGAGTTTACGGTTTTGGCGGGAAAACGCAGGTTTACGGTTTTGGCGGAAAAACGCGGATTTGCAATTTTTGCGGAAAATGGCATTTTCCCGCCAAAACCGTAAACCCGCATTTTCCCGCCAAAATCGTAAAATTGCGTTTTATCACCAAAAATATCATACTATAAAATGACGTTTTCCCGCCAAAATCGTAAATCCGTGGTTTTTCAGCCAAAACCGCAAAATTTCGTTTTTTTTAAACTATATTATTCTTCAACAAAATAATAAAAAAAGTTATATCATTATTTATCAATTATATTTAATGAAATAATATGTAAATTTTAAATAATCAATTAAAATAATTATTGATTATATTATATTGTTTAGAACAAAACAATGTTATATGGGTCTAAATGGGTTTAAATGGGTAAAGAAAATTTAAATTGGTTTAAATAGGGAGGATAAATGGAGTGTAAACTTAAATGGGATATGTTTTAAATGGGGTGGGTCTAAATGGGCTGGATTAGCCCATATTAACATCAATACTTCTCTCTTTGACATCAAAGCATTATACAAATAGACAGATTCTTAAATCTTCTTTGGCCTTTATGCAAAAAATGAAGTAGCTTGTTGTACACTTGAAGCTGATGGTGTACCTGTAGGATTCTTGTCTGTTACATGCTATACGCCTATACCTTTAGCGGATTTTAATTAAGAAGATGAGCACTGACCTTGAATTGAGAAGAGTCTTAAACATACTGTCATTTGTTATCAAGAATCTTATTATTAACGGATCTGTTTTTGGTTCGATTTATTTGTGAGGTGTTATTGATACTTTTCTGATTTTTCTAACCATCGTTGTCTAAATCATTGAGTATCTCCGGAGATATATCTTACCAGTGTTCCAAAAAAACTTGGATTGATTGATTGTTAGTTATGATAAAATTTCAATGTTGTTGACAATTATACGACAACCACGATGGTTCTCACTTAACCCTTCAATTTCTTATTGAAATTTTCCTTTTTCTCTAATAACTTTTTTTTTTTACATAATCATTGCTGAATGCTGATTCACAAATTCAGAGTATCTCTTATGTGTATGTAAAATGAAGATTTTTGTGTGTTAGTCGCAACTTACCAAATGGGTAGTTATGACCAGTTACGTACATTACGAACAGTCATACGAACATTACCAACAGTCACGTTTGTTCATGTAAATTACTATACAAGTGTTAGTCTTGTGTAAATGTAAAGCTGTCGAGTAAATTACTATATAAGTTTCATAACTCTGTTCTATCTCTATCTCTTATCTCTCTTTGTTTTATCAAGTTCTCCACAAAACAAATTATTATACTTTAATTAAGTTCTCCATTTTTGGGCTCCTCTAATCTAGTCGCTGGTCGTTGTTTAGTGATTTTCCCTGATTTGAGAAGCCACATCTTTGACATTGCTATCGTGCACACTCTTTGGTCTTGTATTTAAGGTATTCTTCACTTTTATATAGAGATTTAAATTTTAGTAGAATATGAGATGCTATAAGTCATATCTCTTAGTGATATTTCCAATTTCTCTTTTAGTTATAGTTGTAAACTGAAAAGGTTGAACTTTATCAGATTTTTTTAAAAAGTTGGTTTGTCGATGATCAAAGTAATGATGTTGCGATGGTTAAGTATAGAGAACAAACAACGTGAGTTCGTGACATTAGGAGAAATGATCGCCTGGTTTCAGATCATCTCTGGAAATCTTGTGGGAGAACAATCCCATCTTCTATAGTTCTTACTTCTTTTCTTAGCGAGAGAGATGATAAGGATATCCGATTTTGCTTATGTTTAACCACGCAAAATTGGGTTGCGAAAATTGTGTGCTAAAAACGCTGATGTACATAAAAATTTGCTACTGAATTACGTTGTCTTCAACATCTCTCTATTTTGTAATATCTTTGATTTTGAATTTTTACGTTGTCTTCAACATCTCTCTATTTTGTAATATCTTTGATTTTGAATTTTTTGGCTGTATATATATATATATATATATATATATCTTTTACTCTATTTTCTAACTTCATTCCCTAAGCTTACAAACAAATTTTACCACAGCTGCTTGTATTACTGTTTTCTGTTAGTAGATGGGTTCTTTTTCTTTATCACCAAATATAACTATTTGTGCCTCTAATTGTATAACTTTATAGTTTTCTTTACATGTATGCATCTTTTGTATTGCAAATCCTTCTCTATCCATAATGGAATATATATATATATATATTGCATTCCTAAAGACAACAATTTGTTAAGTCCGTTGAAGCTTATTTCTCTTGCTATCAATCGATTAAATGTCTTGTAGTTACGATAGAGAAACAAAAATGCCAACGTTTTTTAAATTTGGATTTATGTGAGAGAAAATAAAATTCAGTTGGATTAAATATCTATAATCAAACCTAAATAAAATTCCATATGTGACGAGAAATGTTCTTTAGCATATCAAGTCATGTTAAAACTCAAAAAACAATAATACTTTTTTGTGGTACAACATAATATTAAAACAAAAATACTAAAAACTTAAGTGTTTTATATGAAACAAAACTGAAAATATTTTATTTTTTTAATTAACTGAAATGAAATTTTTTGTTTATAAATTATTATATATTATATACAGCATAGCAAGTTAGTGAAAAATATGACATTAGTAAAAAAAATATTTTGTAGAAGGAATTACTACTACTAATACTAATCTTTCAAAAAAAAGAAGTATCATCTGTTTTGGTGCCATCAAAAAGTTTCCCTCTTTTAGGCTCAGAACCCTCTTTCTCTCCAAGTGTCTTTCATTAGGGTTGAATAGAGCTTTAGACTGGAAATTCATTTTCCCTCAGCCGTTATTTACTGTTTCAATCAAGGTTTTTGCTCCTTCTCAGCCTCGTTTCATCGATTCCGACGGTTAACTCTTTTCTCCGATTTTGATTTTCTCTAGTTGGAGACGGTTCGATCTGAGCTTCCTCTTGGTCGGTGAAAGTAGTGTTCTGAAAGGTTAGTTTTCGAAGAAGTTTGGGTTCAGAAAGGTTCGTGACCGAAGAAGTTGGTGCTCCGTGTTCTGGGTTTGCGAAATCTGGGTCTTGGTTCTGAGAAATTTCTGTGTTTCAGAGAGTCTTGTCTCCAGAGAAGTTCGTGTAACAAGCGTTTGCAAAAGTTAGTTTTCGAAGAAGTGTGGTTTCTGATTTTCTGGGTTTGCGTAGTAGTGATTTCAGAGGTTCTGGGATTGTGAAAGAAGTTTGGTTTCAGAGGTTAGCGTCCGTGATTGTTCGTAAGCTTCTGGGTTTGTGAAGAGTTTGGTTTCAGGGGTTCTGGGCTCGGGATAGAAGTCATCAGAGTTTGGTTTCAGAGCTTCTAGGTTTGTGGAAGAGTTGGTTTTCAGAGTTTCTGGGTTCGGGTTAGCAGTAATCAGAATTTGGTTTCGGAGCTTCTGAGTCTGCAGAAGAAGTTGGTGTTTGTAGAAATTGGTGTTTGTAGAAGCTTACAAGTTTACTCAGATATGTCGTCTGCCATGGATAGAGCCTTGATGGAGATGTCCCTAGAGGAAAAGGATGAGCCTTTCGATATGCCTGATTTTCTGGATTTCTTGTCCTGTGAAAGGAATAAGCTCAGCCTTATTGGGAGGGTTTTAAACCCTGACTGTCAACAGATGAAACACTTGATAAGAAACTTGCCAAGGAAATGGCAGAAAGAAGGAAGAGTGAAAGGAGTAGCTCTAACTAATGAAAAGTTCCAGTTTATCTTCGATTCCAAGCACGATCTTGAAG